CATTCAGCTTTATAAGCTCCAAAATATTTAAGCAACTATTCCCTTAAGTAAATTGTGGCTTCTTTTCAAGAAGTTTAGATTCAAAAAGAAACAAGAAAATACTACAGTTCTATGGTTGTAAAAAGAAATGAATAATGTCAAACCAGCACAGTTTAATACAACAGAAAGGAGAAAGTGAAACAAAATGTTAATTGGCATTTTACAAAAATGTAAATGCAAAGTCCTTATTCTTTAATTTTAAAAAAATGAATGACACAGCAAATATTAGGTTTAGATGTACGGGATCTCAGAGACACACAAATGTCAAGTCACATTAACTTTACAGGTTTCCCAGCTTAGTCCTTTTAATCGGTCTTTCTTTACAGAGTTGCTTTCCTGCTCCTAAGCAACAGTCCCTTCACGTGAATTTTAGCTAACATTTTCAAGCAGATAAAATGACCAGTGAAGTTCTTTTCCAAAACTCCCGGGTAGAATCAGCTGATGAAAATGCTGGTACCTATCCGTGAGAGGTAGGGTTAGGGACTGGTATGCTCTTCTTGAATCGAAAGCAGGACCCGTGGCTTCTCCAGCTAACGCAATCCTTTCAAAAAGGAAAGTTTTCATCTGATCCTATTTTAAAACTTCAACAACAGGGCCATCATGACTGTGCCTTTCGAAGAGCTTCAATAAAGCGAGCTGCTACAACAACTGTGGGAAGAATCCGCCTGGACTAGCATCTAAGGAGACAGCGATCTAAATGTCAACTGTGTGTGGGCGCAGGATGGGGAGGGGGAAGAGGGGTTTTATTCACAGCACCAACACGGCGTCAGTTTGGGACTTTTATCCTTCCTCCTAGTTCTACTGAAAGACAGCTTTCCAATTCCTTCCAATGTGTGAAATCCAACCTTTCCTCTCTTGCTGGCTGCAATATTTGGGTTCTAAATAAAGAGGAAGACACCAACGTTTGGCCATCACTCAAAAGAATCCCACATACTGGGGTTAAGAATGGCAGCCGTGGGGGGTCCAGCACTCAGCAGAACAACTCTAATGGTCCTGGGTGACTCTCACAGGAGTCATGGGTTCTGAGGATGCCCACTGCCACGGCTCGGGGATCGAGGCACTGATGGACGATACAGACTTGAAGGCATGTTCCCCAGCACGTGTCCTACCGGATGGGGAGATGCAGACTCTGTGTACATGGTGGGCGGGGGCCGAGGGGCAGAAGGAACTTTACACCCCTGAGCATGAACCATACATGCGGCAATGCTATTTCCTTACGCATTTCCTCTACACCATTTTCATAAGGTGTAACTATGGTAAAATATTATCTAAAACTTATCAGCTTAATAAATGTGTAGCTTTTATTAATAATGATCGTAATAGCTTTTATTTATGAAATAAATAAATAGAAGTGTATAGCTTCGGAGTGTAAAGTGCATTCAGATTGCTGCAAAACCAAGCTCCAGAACTCTTTCCGTCCTGCGAAACTGAGACTCCAGACCCATTAGACAGCTCGCCACTCCTCCTTCCACTCAGCCCCTTGAAACCACCCTGCTGCCTTCTGTCTCTGAATGTGACTACACTAGATGCTGCACACAATCGGAACCAACAGTATTTACCTTTCTGTGACTGGTTTATTTCACTAAGCATAATGTCCTCGAGGTTCATCTAAATCACACGATACGTTAGAATTTCCCTCCTTCTAAAGGCTGAATAACACGCCATCGTACATGTATGACAATTTTGTTTATGAATTAATCTACTGAGGAACACATAGATTTCTTCCAGCTCTTGGCTATTATGAATAATGTTGCAATGGACACGGATATACAAATATCTCTTTGATATCCTGCTTTTAGTTCTTTTGGATAAAGAACCAGAAGAGTGGGGCCTCCCAGATGGCCCAAGCAGTAAAAAAAAAAAAAATTCTGCCAAGGCAGGAGCCACAGGAAATGCAGGTTCGATCCCTGGGTGGGGAAGATCTCTTGGAGGAGGAAATGGCAGGCCACTCCAGTGTTCTTGCCTGGAGATCCCAAGGACAGTCCATGGGGTTGCACACAGTCAGACATGACTGAGGGATTGGGCATGCACACATGCCAGAAGAGTGGACTGCTGAATCCTATGATGATTCTAGTTTTACTTTTCTTGAGGAACCACCATACTATTTTCCAAAGTGACTGTACCATTTTACATTCTCAGATCATCCTTGCCAATACTTGTTACTGTCTTTTTTTTTAAAAAAAAGAAAACTTTTATTTTGTATTGGGTAGGGCCAATGAACAATGTTGTGACAGTTTCAGCTGAACAGCGATGGGACTCAGCCATACATATACATGTATCCACTCTCCCCTAAATTTCCATTCCATCCAGGCTACCACAAAACATTGAGCAGCTCCCTGAGATACCTTACTAGCATCTGTTTTTTCTTAATGGTAGCCATCCTAACACATAAGATGATCCCTTAGTAACTTTGAATGTTTATCCCTGTATTATTTTAATAATCAGATGAAAATTTAGTGAAATACACTCAACTATTAAAAGTAATCATGCAAATACATATTTATTGGTATAGAAAGGCCTTAAATAGTCTAAATATTTTTCAATATGAAAGTTACTGTAAGAGTTACATAAAACTACATATACTACTCTGTTGGGAGAAATAAAAATATACATATTAATATAAATGTTTTATACAGACTCAGTGCAATGTGAAAAGGAATATAAAACAATAAACCAGAAAGTTAATAGTAATTATCTCTGGATAATGGTAATCTAATTGATTTTACTGTTTTTGTATTTATTTCCTGATCTTTACCCAACAAACAAGCATGTCTTCTGTAATAATGAATAACAACAGTAAAGGTGATAACATGGTAAATAAGTTGGGAGTCACCAGGTACCTAAACTGCTGCAGGCAGCTACGTTGTTGTGGCCAACAAACTATCTGAGAGTCCTCAAGCCAGAACAAGATCCTCTGGATCGTCTATAATACTACTGCATAAATTCTACTTTTAGTCCCAACGTGCTTTGAGGGCTCTGTTTGGCCAATTTATGACAGATGCTGAAATTAAGGAGTTGTCAGTAATTTGCCACCCATACCATATGACTCCAGAATCAATAAAGAAGAGACCTGCAAAACAGAATATATAATGACGATTTCTTATGCTTAACCTAAAAACAAAAATACATAGATAGGAAATGAGAGGATTTATAAGATACAAGGAAAAAATGTGCTGAAGATACACTGCTCCAACCCAACTACATTACATAATATTCTAGTTACTGTGAATTAAGAAATTTTTTTATACTTTCAGATTTCTTGTGAAAACTCTTTTTATGCCTTCTCATGTGCATGTGTGTTTAATGAGTTTTTTTTTTTAATCTTAATCTTGCTTATCTCCCTGAACTAAAAGAACAAGGTAGTTCAAATTCAGACCAAGAGAAGCAGAGAAAAGAATGCTTCAAAGAGAAGAGGCAAAAGCTGGGACACAAATAAAAATGAGAACCAAGGGGTCCTCTGCCCACTAGAAACCTTGAAGCTTGCTCCCCACCCCCGAACCCACCACCCCCCACCACAAGCACTATTAAACTCTCTCCTCTCCATCCCTGGACTTCCAATTGGGAATTCATGGGAATGACCCTTAATGCATGGGCCTGACATGTTTTCAACTTCCCCCTAAAACCCTCAAACTCAGGAGCACAGCAGATGTCATAATTAAATTACTCAACCCCTAACACTTTTAATTCTGAAATTATCCCCCATTCACAACAAATGACTTTCCTTCCACATCTCTAGGCCTCAGTTCCACTCAATGTGTGTGTCCTCACAGAGGCGCTGGCCAGACCCTAGACATTCCTCTCGTAGTTCATCACTTTTGTTCTGGTTTACTGCCCGCCCATGTAGCCTGGATCCTGAATGAGTCACTGAAGAAATGGATTCAGTACGCACTAGCTTCCTGTTTTCTCTATTGGCAACTGGTCGTAGGTAAGGCTCTCAAACAAAGGACCAAGAGAAAGAACAGGAGAGAACAGAGACCGAGTCTTCTCTTACAAACTGGTAACAATCCCCCGCTGCCGGCTGGACTAAGACATCCCCTGCGTCTTGCATCCCCAGCTCGCCACTATATGGTTACTTTTCTCTCTCCAATGAGTTCCCAACCATATTCCATGAGAAGATAGGGAAATGACATGAGGGTTTCTAGGAAGGCTAAAGTGAGCACTGAGCAGTCAGGACCCCAGGCTTCACCCAGAACAGCTCCACTTTTATTTAACAACAGGAAGATGTTCAACCAATCATGTTGCATGCAGAAGACACTACTGTTCAGCCATTAAAAACCACATTTTGGTGATATAAAGAGTATGTTCATGATGTAAACACTATGTACAGCACTATCCAAAGTCTTCAATAGGTAACAGACCTAGGAATAGAAATTGTCTAGAGGGAAACACCTCGGGGTAAACCATGGTTATATGAGAGTGATAGCTTTGTGAGTGCCTCTTAAATTTTCTGCTACTGATAGTCATTTTTAAACGTATTTATGTAATCTTTAAATTTCTAAAAAAGTATTTTCTTTGAAAAAATTATTTCGTTTCTTATAAAAAATGGTTCCCCTTTCTGAAGTCCAGAAAGTGATGGATGCAACCTTACTCACCTCTGCTGGAGTCTGCCCAGCTGGCATCTGGTGGTTGCCAGCAAGAAGAGGACCAAGCTAGACTCTCACCCCAGAGGTTTCAAATAAATGAAACCGAAACCAACTAGTGGGAACAAGCAAACAACATCCCTCAGGCAAGACGCCTGTGTCTCTGTGCTGATCTTTTCTTCAATAACTCTCATTACACCTGCCTTAGAGTCCTTGGTGGTTAATCTCAGCAAATTGTCAGCCACTCGTAAAAGGCAAAGATAAAGAAAATCTCAGCAAAGAGAACATGACTATCATCCACACTGGAAGTTGGCAAGCTTTTCCCAAACATCAGCAGTTTCCTTGTAGACAAGACCTTCTGACTAAATCTTTCATGCTCACCAGGTGTTTTGCCTTCGCACGCTCCTCCTCACTTGATATCCTCTCACGAAGGATAGCTCTGGTCAACTGCTCGTTGGCAAAAGCCTTCTCTGCATCCAGTTCTTTGCTTTGCTTCAGTCTGAAAAGACAACAAAGTTCTAACTTAGGGAGAAAAAAAAAGATTTTAATAGTTGACATCATGTGTTTAATGTGTTAAATAAAAAGACAGAAACAGCCCGAGGGTTAGTAACTGAAGTCATCTTGGCCTAGAGTTTATCAATAGCAGGTATATTTTCTAATAAATCCTCATGCAGCCTTTATCCAAGCATTTAAAAGAAGTGAATTCAAATATACCAAGAGGCTAATCAATCTAACTGCTAAATTAGTTTTACTAAGTTCTTCTTATGTCAAATTGAAATCTGCCCAACTAAATATTCTATCCCTGGTGACTCCATCTGCCCTCTGGAGAGAGAAGTAATACATCTAATTAACAAGTCATCTATAAGACAAATATTTGAAGGTAACCATCATCCTCCCATAAAAACTGACTCCGCTATTTATTGACTCTATACGAGGCACTGCGTGAGGCACTGATGACAGGGTACTGAAAAGGACCAGTCCCCGATCTCATGGACCTGACGTTACCGCAGGAAATAAAAACACTGTTAGAAGATCTTTCCTCCCAGTGGATCTCTCATTTCCCAACAATCTTCATCAGCAAAAATGGCCAGACCTTTCAGGAGCAGGGTTCCTCACTTGTGGAATGACTCCAATTTGTCCCTGAGCTCCAAACTAAATGTTAACACTGTACACGTGGTCCAGCAAAGTAAGACAGTGGAACCTCACCTCCCAACCAACGCTAGTTCTACTAATGAAGCATCTGACTGCATTAGGTCTATCAGTAACCTCATCACACAATTAGATCATACTAAACTGCAATCCACTACAACCTCTCTCATGTGCATGACAAAGGTGTGCCTGGGCCCATAAAGGTATTCAGTAATCACTGAGGGAGAGTACATTTTAGGCTAATCTCATGGCAAAGATTTTGATTGCCTTTTCTTCTTTGAGAGAAAAAGCCCTCTATACCATCATATCCCTGAAGTTATAAGCAATGCTATAAAAAGAAAAAGTAAAATTGGTATGTTGGTATAAGTGAAATTCTGAGGGCAATCTACTTTGTAAGTGGGAATGATGAGCACCAAATTGAACTCACTACTAGTCTATCAAATTTCAGTTTTAAAAAGGATTCTTGAAAAGAAAACTTTGGTTACTAGTTTTAAATTGTTATATCACCTTGATACACTGAAATTCTCACAAATAAATTCTAACAGATAAAATCAGTTTGTAAAATACATTCCAAAGTGATAATGCTTTTCCCCCTAAAAATTAAACCTGTGTAAATTTATGTCTCGAATAAAGGTAAATAACAGAGGCAAATATACTTTTACCCAAAGAAATCCTGGAGTTATATAAAAGGAAAGCAACATGGGAAACAAAGTGGTCCACATAAGGACAGCATGCCAACAACTGCTGAAGTTACTGTACCAGATTAGAAACAAGGCACAAAAAGCATTTCTACCAGCCTATCGCTTCTAAGTAAAAGGCATTACTTCTATTACAAGTGAGGTGGAAACTAAAAATAACAACTACTATAATTTACAGATCACCTACTATATGCAAACACTGTGCTAGGCACTTTATATACATACATAAAACTAGTATAAAGTTCACATTTTTAATTATTAGTTCTTGGACATCAAGTGAGTTCTACATATCTAAAGCTTCCCAAATCTTCCATATTTGGTATATCAAATTTTAAAGTATTGTTCACTTTAATAACAACATTTTTTTCTGAGTTTACTTGCATATGGCATAAGTTTTAATTATAAATGGAGTTAAAAGTAGCTCAACTTTGGAAATATAAAGTTCGGCAAGTTAATGAAAAATGAAGCAATAACATAAGCACAAAAGTCTTCCATGTTATAATAAAAAAAAATAAAGATTATTCAGCTTGCAACATCTAATACAGATCCTGAGTCTAAACCAAGGCTCTACCATTTACTAGCTGAGTGTAGTTAACCTCCCTGGTCCTGTTATTCTCATGAGTAAAACAGACTGGTGTTAACACTTACCTTACAGGATTCTATATACAAAAGCACTCAGTACAAAGCCTGTGAGTACAATAAGCACTCAGTGCACTAGGTAAGCAGCAGTAATAACAACAGTACCCACTGTGGGATCAGGAATACAGAAGCAGCAGTTGTTTTCTGAAAAGAAGGAAATCTCCACATTCATTAAATACACCAGAACTACATGTCACTTGGTCCTCTCCATCTTTTTTCCCCCAGTTCTTCAAAGTTCCGCTTTATTTTTGCAATCAAGCACCTGTAACAAATCAATAGACTCTACTGACTCTAGTAGCCCCCTCCATGCACACGCTCCTTTCTTTGTTTCCCGTAAGGCCAACGATCTGGTTTGCTTTTTTCCACTGCTATATACCCAGTGCTCAACAGTGCCAGCCCCACACCGCAAGTGCTCACAAAATACTCGACGATATGCATGAATGAATGAGTGGCGTGTGTCCGACTCACTGGAAAATGGAAAACAAGCTGCAGAAAACAGAAGACTGGGGGACTTGTGAGACTAAACACAAACAGAGCGCTACAAGGGCCAGGCCCCCGTGATGTTGAGTGTCACAAGTGGGATGATCCTGGACCACACCAACCTAAAGAAGAAGGCTGTTTTACACCTCGTAACATGTGAGAGCCTCCAAACTACCAGCACCTAGTTACATTTGACTCTTGGTTGAAGAGACACTGGGGGGTGGCACAAGCTGACCAAAAAGAAATTCTCCTCATTCTTACAGTTACTTTCATTTTCTTACAAATAGACCTGTTCAAATTCTCAAATAGTTTATTCTAAAGGAATGTCTGAAAATAAAATGAAAAAAAGAAAGGTCTGTGCAGTGACAGTTTCCTGACCAGAATTTTGTATCTTTAAGAAGTCTGGCAGTAGAACCCAGAACCAATCCTCACTACCTACAGGCAGTTTAATGGTACACTCTAATAAACATCAGTTTTCTTAGCTTTAAATTTTGAAGGCTGAGCTTTATATAGCCCAAGGTTCCTGGGCCACCAAGGTACCTGTTGTTTAAAAAAAGGGGGGGGAGGAGGCAGATATGAGATAAAATAAATCATTAACAACTTGGGTTTCCAAAGATTTAAGAATAATCTCAAAATAAAACTAAACATACCAAGTATCTTGGAGAATACATTCTCTCTTTTATTTACTGGCATTTCCCACTGATTATTTCAGATCTCCTGGTCTAATATTATTCTACATTAAGCCCTTGATTTAAGTTTCATTTAAATTTCCTTCTTTTAAATACATATCTCTCCTCATTTAAATTCTCTAGAGTTTTAAGCAAAGAAGTAGGAGTTTAGTGTAAACTTTTCTTATTTGCATTAAGTAATTGGATAGCTTGCCTAAGCTTAATGAAACAAATACCAGTCAGCTCTGTCCTTACAACTCAAACCCTAGCAACTGAGCTCTTGTTCTCAATATATTCTCAACCAGGTGAGAGATGTAAGATACACCAGCAAAATGAATTTCTAAAAATGAGCCAAACCTCTTATAATGAAGAACATTACACGTGTCATTTAAATGGAAAAAATAATAATAATTTACTCACATATGTTCAGTTCTCACAGATATCTGATATATAAAATTTATGTATTTCAGTTTGTGTAAAAACTGACCAATATTATTTTATTTCAAAGAACCTAAAGGTTTTAAGAAAATGGGAAGAGTATTTTTAAAGATAACTTTAGCTAGGCATGTCTTATAGATTCAACTTTGTTGTTGTCTATCAAGGAGGCATTACTATTTAAAAATATATATATGAGAAAAATTGAGATGTGGAAAAGCACACAGGAGACATGAAATGACTTGATCTGATTTCCAAAGCCATGGTTCTTAAACCTGAAGAGTAACACATCCGGCAACGCCACCACCACCAACAGGAATCAGCTTCCATTACGTTACTCACCTTTGTGGCCGTGTAAGGACAGTTTTTACAAGCCACATTACTCATAATTATTTTAAAAGAAGCTCGTTTTTTAATGTGCTTTCATTACATCAAGTCAGAGTTTGCCAGAGTCAGAATTATTACCAGCCCTTTCTCAAAGTGGGTTTGGCTTTTGATGGCTCTAAATGTTTCTCTGAACCTGGGCACTGCTCATTTGGCAATTCACAAATACTCAGATTTATCTTCATGTAGGTTGACACATAAGAAATGCTACACAATTCTAGCTTAGAAAATCACTTTATAATTTAATATATAAGGCCATTATATTACTGAAGGAAAGTTGAGGAGAACCTCAGATAATGGGTGAGAATAAATGGGAAACTGAGACTGTTCCAGATAAAGTGACTTGAGGAAATGATTTATCTAAAATTGAACTATGACCATTATACACAGAATATCTGGATAGTACTGCAAAGTACTTGACTTAGACTTTCAAACACTAGAAGAGAAAAATGAACGACTACAACCACAAAGGTCAGTCTTAATGCTAATGATGAATTTTATTTTAATGCATCATACTTTGTTAGCACATGCTGAACTAGCATTCAAAATACTGTTTACTACTTATCTTTTAAACAGAAAAGCTTAGCTGGTAATCCAACGAACTAATTATTAAGACTATTAAAAATAATGACAAAACAAGTATACAGCTTTCTATTAATAAGACTTTACCAAAATAACAGTACATAGCAAGCTTAATATTTCTCAGCTCAAATAATTTCAAATCCTAGAAGGAAATATACAAGCACTGTGATTCTGAAATAAACAGATGAGAATGAATGTATATTAATATGGCCATGTCCTATTCATTCACAGTATGTGTATATATACTGAATATGTAACATCTGTGTGTGTAACAGATAGAGTCAGCGTTTATTAATGCTTGCTTTGTACCACAAACAGGTCTAAGCACTTGACGGGTGTAACTCAATTTACAATCCTCAACGGCACCCCTACCAAAACTGTTTTACTCTATTTCAGAGGAGGAAGCTGAGGCACAGGGAAGTTTTGTAACAATAAAGCTTTACAGGATTTATGAAATAATCTGC